GCCCCTGCAGGGGCGGAGCTAGGCCGGCCGCGGATCTCACCCGTGAGCCGGCCGCGTGCGTGCAGCACCGAGGCCCTGGTCGTTACGAAGACCCGTCCCAGAGCAAGCTGCTGGCGGCCCCTGACGGCGGTGCCCGCGGGAGCCGGGGCAGGACAGCGCGCGGGTGGCCTCCTGGCCTCCGGAGTGGCGGCTGCCGGGCGTGGGTCAGACGCGCACACGCTCCAGGGGTGATCGTCTCAGTGCACGGGGCGACGACGAAGCAAAGACGCCAGCGGCGACTGTCGCTGGGCTGGGAGTCCTGCTGACCCCCGACCCGACCCTCCGTGCTGCGGCCTGCACGGGGAGTCGCCGCACAGCCAGTGTCGGGAGCCGCGGGAGAGGCCGCGGCAGGGCCCTGAGGACGCCACCGGGCACCAGAGCGCAGGGCACCGGGGAAGGCACCGAGTGGTGACCCCGGGGAGCGGAAGGGGCAGTGCAATGAGGCGAGCCCCGGGGCTCTTGAAGACACTTCGCCGGTTTCGCTGGAAGCAAAGCCACCGGGGAGAGGCTGTGCCCCTTTCAGCCACGCGCAGCCCCTACTTCCGCCCCTCCCTCCCAGTCCCCGGTGTCTCCCCGGTGTCTCCCGGGTGTCTCCGGCCGTCGCAGAGCCAGGTGCTGGAACCCGCACCGTCGCTGTGGCCTGGCGCTGCTTCCCAGGAACAGGTTAGCGCTGGACGCTGAGGTCCCCAAAAAGAAGAGCACCCGCAGGAGCAGTGACGCAGCCGACAGATGTCACGGGAGGGGCGAGGGCAGGACGAGGAAGCTCAGGAGCCCCCAGGGACGAGTGTGTCATGCTGTGAGAATCGCCGGAAGGATCCACAGGCTAGTGACTGTTTCCACTCAGCCCAGGGAACAGCAGCTCTGGAGCCACCTCATGCGATTCAGCTCTGGTGGTTCACCTGTCACCATGCCAGGACAGCAGTGGGCCGTCACATAAGTGTAGAGTCCGGCTTATAGTTTTGCTACTGGTGTTCTGCGAGTGTCTTAGGAATGCACTGTATGACTGGACGGCACCCTGTTTAGCAGTGAAGCGGTGTTCCTGTTAGAACGCTGGCCACCGACCAGAACAGGGTAGCCTCAGCTCCCGACAGGTGGGGTGTTTTACCACAGAGATCTTTACTTATGGGCACTTTCGGCTTGCAGGAGGCTCCGTGGTGGTCCCAGGTCAAACACACATGCTCCCGGGAGTGCAAAAATACAAGCTGTCCCTTACCCTATAGTTTTCATTCTTTTTATTAGAGTAACAGACCTTTAGCTAATAGCCCAACAGACCCTTGCTAATAGCCAACAATTTGGGTTCAAAAGGCATAACACATTGAGATGCTCTGTAAAGAAGTTTATAGTTTTAGAAATGACCCTTAGTAATGCCTGTTTTTTGCTTGTTACCTTCTCAGTCTGGCCAAACATTTCTGAAAAAAGATATTAAGTGACTAAATGTCAAGTTACATCTGCCTTCTGAATACACAGGCTGGAGAATGAATTCACTGGTAGATGCTGGAAGGGCGTTGAGGCTTTGGAAACTTGTTTTTAAGTTTGAGGCCCAGTGACTAGTCAGCAGAGCTGTCTGCCACTGCCACTCAGAGCTGGCAGCTCGTGCAGGCCGGGCTGGCTCTTGGCAGGCTGCGCTGATCCCACCCGCTGGGGGGCCTTCCCAGGGGCTGAGTTAACCCAGAAACTACCCACATGAGGAAGTGACTGAATACGGTTTGAGGATCATTTTGAATGTATTTCAAGAATACAGGTGTATATACTGAGTGATGTTTGACTTCACGTCTACTTCAAATCTACTATGGGCAAGTCCTAAAGTTTCTAATTTTCGCTTCTGGTCACAACTCTCCATTTAGATGTGAGGTATTAAAAAAAAGACCAGTTCTTTTCACTGCACGTAATTTTTAGTAGTTATGCGGCTGTCAAAGGAGCAACGCAGTCCCTGTTTCAAAAAGTCGTGGCTAATGTTTTTGGTGCCGCTGCTGCTACATGCAACTAATGATCTCCTTGTGATGTTTCTTGTCCCTCACTTCCTGCCCCTTCCCACCTCCAGGAAGGGTGCCTGTGGCCTCCAGACAGCTCCATGCAGCAGCCGCGGGCCTCAGAGGTAAGGGCTGCAGGGTGGCGTGGTGTGGGCACAGGAGGGGGGGGACGGAGAAGGCCCAGGCCGGACGCCGCAGACGGCCATGCTGATAGCACAGGTCAGGAACAACGCTTTTGGACTAAGCATTGCCTATAACTTCGGTCAAAAGGAATAGGGGGATTTCCCCTAGAATTTTCTAGGAATTAAAGCTCTTTACAGAAAGCGGGTTGAGAATGACTGATCTACATGATCCCATAAACTACAAATAATGTGGCTTGGCAAGGGCAGGCAGGCACAGTTTGCAAATACCACAGCATGATTTATTTCCACACCTCCAAGTTTAATAATATGACTTTTAAAATATATTTTTGCCTTTAAGTTAAAATATGATGTGAGAGAAGTCAATGGCTACATGTGTGTATACATGTATATGTTATTCATGTATAAGCACATGCCTATGTATACATACGCATATAAATAAGATCTGCCTCCTAGACGAAACTTGGATGGTGGAATAAATGAGAAGATTTTGTAAGAAATATACTACCTGGGTTCGTTTTGGAAAAAAAAATCTATGATCCTATTTGCTTTGGAACACAAAAACATTTTTCATATAAAAAACTATAGGAAACTCTTATAAGAATCTAAATAACCAGAAAAGTCTAGAAACCAGAAAGAAAAAAAAAGGTCACATTTTCTGGATTTTTACAAAAAGTAATCGATAGGACAACAAGCTTCCATAAGTAATTTGTCAACTGCCCCAATGCCCTGTGCCTGCTGCAAGTAGCATTGTGTGACGCCATAACTTAAATATACCATGAAAACTCAGAGCCCCTCCCCACTTTTCTGAATCGGAGGTTCCAGAGCTGGCAGGGGCCTGAGAAAGCAGGTACTTTATAGATAAGCAGCCAAGACGGCACCAAGGTCACTCTGCTCCTCTGTTCATGCGCGCGTGGAATTGCCCTTGTATTCTATTTGCCCCCTTGGAAATGTGAACACAGCACACATAGTAATTCCCATTAAGCCAGATCTTCAGTTAACCCCAGTTCTCCATTGTTCGGCCATCCTGTATATACTGCAGCTTGGCAAAGTGAGTGGTCTAAGTCATGAGAAGTAAGAAAATTTAATTTTTTTTTCTGAAAATCTTTTCCGATTTTGTCTGGGAAACGGTGTTCAGACTGGGAAGAACACAGACCAAGCGTGAGATTTCCTCGATCCCATCATGTTCATGGTCATCACTTGCCAGGAATGTCTTCAGGCCTGTCCTCTTCTCCTTTCAGATCATGTACACCCCGCGGTCCAGGGACAGGTTTACTGCCCCACCCTTTATTCAGAGGGACCGGTTCAGCCGCTTCCAGCCCACCTACCCCTATGTGCAGCACGAGATTGACCTCCCTCCCACCATCTCCCTGTCTGATGGCGAAGAGCCACCTCCTTACCAGGGGCCCTGCACCTTGCAGCTCCGGGACGCTGAGCAGCAGATGGAACTCAACCGAGAGTCTGTGAGGGCCCCGCCCAACCGAACTATATTTGACAGTGATTTGTTAGACATTTCTATGTACAACGGGGGCCCGTGCCCACCCAGCAGCAACTCGGGCATCAGTGCAACCACCTGCAGCAGTCACGGGAGGATGGAAGGGCCGCCCCCGACGTACAGTGAGGTGATGGGCCAGCAGCCCGGCGCCTCGCTTCTCCATCACCAGCACAGCAGCGTGCACAGGGCCAGCAGGCTGCAGCTGCAGCAGAGCAGTTCTGAGAGCACACTAGCACCCCTCAAAGGCAAAGACAGGAAGCCCGGGAACCTGGTCTGATGCCCTCCACTGTGCACTCTAATGGAGGAGAGATGAATCACAGTGGCAAGAGGCCGCGCTGGGCCCTCCTGTGCACGGGGCTGTCCAGATTTACATGGTACAACTAAGTAAAACCAAATGTGCAGACGCGGTCTTGTTTCTGATTCCTTTGGAAGGAATTGCATGCAAACTAGACTGAAATAATGCAAGCTTCCATCCGGTCTGATGCAAACAGTACTTATTTGGGGGCAGGGGTTGAGATGGGGGATGGTTTTGACAAAAGGCAGGCAGGGAAAAACAGAGAAAGGGATTCTTTGAAGGTATCATGAAATAAAACCCATAGGGGTATTTAATTTATTTAACTCTAAAAGGAGACTTTGCTGATAAATTAGGCCAGAATGGCCTGTTTTATAATTACTAACTGAATAAAGGAAACATTATTATATATTATCACAAGGAAGAATCAGCCAGTTTGCTTTTTCTCCCAAGGTGTGGAACTTTTATTTTGTTTTAAAAATATGCATTGAAATTCCTGTTTTGTGTGCCAAGGTATAAAGTGGAGAAGTTTGATGAATGCAAGGAGCTAATTTGTATTGTGATGATGTGTTTTAAAAGTTGCACTATCTTAATGTTTAAAAATATATATGAGGAAGCTGTTTTATGTGAAGCTCTGTATGTTGTCTCTTCACCTGTGGATTGTTATTAGGCCCAAAGAGTATCCTGGAGTGTTCCTCAGAATCATACAAGAAAAGATATATGGGGATACAGCCTAATATTTACCAGTTTACAGAATTCAGAAGTCATTATTGTTGCAAGAATTTGCATAGAATAGCAGTGTATCACTGAAGCATGTGGAGACTTTTGGATGGAAGACAGGAAATGCTAAGTCCCAGCATTTCTGACTTGCTATTTGAGTCACTCTGCTAGTGTTAGGCTGCACCTTCCATTAAAAATGATCCCAACACAGCAGTCATATGTCCAGTACCATGCAGTGCTGCCCTCAGCCGCCAGCAGTACAGTTTCTTCAGTAATTTAGATTTTTTTTCTTCACCATAGCATGCAATATATTCAGATACACACCTTATTTTATGCAATAAATTGTTTAAAATGCAAGATGGTTATTTTGAGTAATGTTGAAACGTGACTTCTCAGTGTATCCCGTTGCCTCTCCCCGTTCCTGGGAGCTCAGTTCAGTTCTGCAAGGCTGGTCAGTTCAGCAGGAGGCTCTGGGCAGTCAGTCCCCCCACGCAGCCCATCCAGGATTTCGTGTGTGAGTGCCCGTTTCCCATGCTTAGAAGCCCCGGGAACTGACGGAGGAACAGCACTTTGCTGATCACATCACTCGGCCATCACATTTTCCTAGTGCTGCACAGCCTCCTTGAGGAATGCAAACCTATCCAGACCCCCAGCCCTGGCCCGTAGTCTTTGTGCTGATGGCAAGAACCGGACGGGCATCAGAGAACAGGGCAGGGTGGAGAGTAGCTGTAAGAGCACACGATAAAAAGCACAAGATGCAGTTGTAATGCAACTAGAAAACTAATTTTAAATATTGTTAGTCTTAGTTTGATATTCCTGATATTTACAAACATCCATTCTTACTTTACAATAAAAAATAACATTCTTCTGCAGATGCAAGCACTGGCTTTTGCAACAGTAGCAGCCAATAAGTTTAGCAAACACTGCACCGTGGAGAAAGGCTGTCTGTAGCGGCCAGTCTGCTTTTTGGAGGTTGGGCCTCTTTGGCCTCTGCACATAACCAAATGAGCTGGAATGGACGGTTCCAGGACTCTGATCTATGCAGCTTAAAACCAAACCAGCATATGTGTGTTCGTGTCTGTCTGTAGGTCTCAGAGGTGATTCCTTGTGAGGTGGCTGCATGCTGTTGCCTGAGAGCTGGAGATGTTGTTCCCGTCTGGCCCCAATCTGCTCGTTTCTGCTTCTTATCTCGGTGCACAGGTTGTGGTGTTTTTGTTTGTTTTGAGGATTGGAATCTCCATTAGATTCATCCGTTTCACACAGTAGCATCCGTAGAACTAGTCAAACTCTTAAAAGGAGAGAGGGAAAAGATGGGCAGCGGTCGGACGCTCTCGCTTAAGGCCCTGTTTGGAAGAACATACACCTGAGGGCCACAGTGGGAACTCTGAGGCTGGTCTGTCAGGGGAAACCAGCTCTTAGTGCAGAGGTGACCCTTCCCATCACCTGGAGGCCTCCTAAAGGCCACTGTCTTCTGGATTTCAAGCCTGTGCTTGAAAGAAGCTGGGGATCCCATGACAGAGAGCCTTTCCGTGTCTGTCAGGTGAAGAGGAAGAGATACTTGTCCCAGCCGGGACCCGAATGGTGGGTAAATTACTGGTCAGGTGTCCCCTCAGATGCAAAGGTAAGATGATTAGCTAATGATTTCATTCAAAATCTTGCCTGCATTTGTGGTAAAGCAGGAGAACCCACCCTATATCTCTAGCTCAAATGGTTTCACAATCCTTACTTTTCCATCTGCTACAGGAATGAGCTAAGATCAGAAACTTGTGAATTCCTTATAACTTCGCAAATATATGAATGTTTTACAGATGTCCACAGTATTGGCAAAATAACTTAATTCAAATAACTTTAATTGTCCTTCAAAAGAGAGGTTCCTCCCATTCCACCACCCTAGAGAATTGCCTTTTAAGTTAGTTATTAAGACACATACATATCAAACCATGACTTTGAAGGGTCTTTGAGGCTGGGCTTCTGTAATGAATCAGTTTAAAGGCCAAGGTCATAAATTGAATTAATAGTTAATTTCCCTTCAACACAGGGAAGGTGACTTAGATGCATAGCTTTTCTGAAGGTTGTGGCTGACCTCTTCCTACAGTGTCACCTCCCAGCTAGCGTGGTGTTGACAGAGCTGCAATTGGAATATGCAGCTTGCTCAGTGGGGCCTGTTCTTTCAAGAAGCCTGTATGCCTTTGGAACCCATGAGTACAGTTTAGAAACCAGTGATTTAGGCAACCAACAAGAAGTTTAATAATCTTGGATTATACCAGCAGAGCATCGCAACAAAGGATTGCGTTGTTGGAAAGAACAGTTGGTGGGAATGAACGCTCCTGGGCATGGCACTGTGACTTTTGCCTCTTGTCCCAGGGATTTCCACGAGTATGAAACCCAAGGCTTGCTGAATCCCAGTTATAGGAACACAGTCTTCTGGCACATATTTGCTTTTTCAGAAACTCTAGCATTCTTCAAGCACTGAGGCAATCCTGAATGCACAAGAGATTTTGTGAAACAAATTATGCATTTAAAAGGTTGATCTATTCTCCACGTTCAAAATTTGCTGACAAGCTTGACAGGTGTGCCCTCTACCTTCTCATCACATATGCACGTGGACACACCGAATCCACAGGAAATGCCGAGGTGGGGGGAGAACATGCAAAACTTACAAAGGTCCGCTGTGAGGCCTGCTCTTCTGTACGCCGATTTTTGCTCAAGCTTATGAGAGGAAAGGGGGTCAATGGTAAACTGGGGGCTCCCGACACCAGCACAGGAATTGGGTGCACAGAGGAGTCCGTCTTGAGCTTGTAAATGTCTCCATTTACAAGAATGAGATGGGCTCAGAAGGGAGACGTTTAGAAAGCTGCTGTGACCTACGTTCCTCTGAGGACCCGTAGCTCCATCTCTGACGGGTGGTCCCCACCTTCCATCCGCTGCTCTCCATCTTAGGAAGACGCCAGGCATAGAGCCTGTCCCGTATGTCCTTAGGCCAGAGATTGGTGGACAGCACAGAGGCACGTGCAGCACGCCGACCACTCCCCTCAGGAGACAGGCCACATGGCGTGTCACTCGCAGTGGCCAGAAGACGCCAGGCATAGAGCCTGTCCCGTATGTCCTTAGGCCAGAGATTGGTGGACAGCACAGAGGCATGTGCAGCACGCCGACCACTCCCCTCAGGAGACAGGCCACATGGCGTGTCACTCGCAGTGGCCCACGCGTCACTGCAGCTCGCTTTGCCTGCTGTGCTGGTTCTTGCTGAATTTTCCTACTTAGAATGAGAACGTTAACTCTCTGCTTTTCTTGTCTAAGTGACTAACGCCAGGGCCTGCTGCCCGCCCCCGGCTCGGCCACCTCCCAGCTTTGCTTAAGAGCACCCGACTGACCGAGAATGGAAACTCTCTGCTTTTCTTGTCTAAGTGACTAACGCCAGGGCCTGCAGCCCGCCCCCGGCTCGGCCACCTCCCAGCTTTGCTTAAGAGCACCCGACTGACCGAGAATGGCGATTCTTGGTGAGTAAATACTTAGGTAAAATAACACTATTGGAGGACAAGTTGGCAAGGGGAGAAGCCTCCCCTTCTCAGTGACAGGCACACTAACACCAAAGTCACAAATCGACAAACTTTGCTGTCACCCCAGATAAATGACACTTCTCAGCATCTTCCTGGTTCACCTGATTCCAGCAGGGCCCTGCTGCCAGCCACCAGACCTGTCCAGAGATCCCCGGGATGGGGACAAGTAGAGCATGCTTAGCCTGCAACAGCTCGCATTTTCTAGGAATCAAGACTCCAGCAGACTTTATTTTAATACCCCGAATGCTGCATCTTTGGTGTAGTTCAAGTTTACGTCACTGCCAGGGTTGGCCAGTCCCTGGCCTGCTGCTGCCGGGTGGCTGGGTGTGTCTGCGAGTGGAGGAGCATCGTCTTCCCGCACCTTTCTTTCCTCCCTCAGTGTGTGCTCGTTTGTGAGAAGTGTGGTAGGGTTAGAGCTAGACATTGTATACCCACTGTCCGCTCATATCGCATAGATCCCTGTCATCGCAAAGACCTGCATGTCAGTTCTAAGCAACTGAGGTGCCTCCTGTTCTGAGCTCAGCCGGTGCAGGGACGAGCGGCCCCTCCTGCGCTCCATGCTCCCACCTCTGCTGTGCCTCACTTGACATGGTGCTTTTTCAGCTGTCTGTCCTTTCTTGTTTTTATTTATAAGGTGCTGTATATAAGTTGAATATGTTATGCACATATCCTACCCAATGGGTAGAACAAAAAACTATTAATACTGTAATATAATGTATAGGTGATTCCAATTTTAGCAGAAATGGTGTGGAGCGTGTGCCTGTGTGCTCTGTCCTCTTTTGTAAGGAGATTTGCAAATGGATGCATAAAGATTAAAGTTTATGTAGTTTATTTTCCTATTAAATATCAATATTATAATACAAGGGAAAGAAATCTGAACAAACAAGCAACAGTTTCTGACCAGCGTATATATAGCAATTGAGAGTTGCACATTTGCTGTGAAAACACTTTAAAAAAAATTTTTTTAAACCCCACAGGTTTTTGGTTGCCACTAGACACTTCTTATTTTAATCACTTTTTACAACAGTAATCACAATTACAACAGTAATGCTGTTGGGCCAGTGTTATACTTTAGTCAGAAAACAACATTGATTTTTCAGCTTCCTTTATGAACAGACATTATCTCATGTTGTAGTATAATGAAAGTGTCAGGCCTCAGTGAAACGTGCACAGTTTTGTTTACATTGCAAAAATTGCATGAAGCAAGTGGGCCTGCAGCAGAGGACCTTGTTCAGCTGGAGGCCCTCACCGCCATCTGTGTCCCAAGTCTCAGCGCCTTTTTCTTTTACTAATTGAAGCTGTGGAGCTGATGAACTAACGGTAGAGTTCGTAGGGAAAGAATACCTCAGGAAAAACAAATCCACTTCCGAGCAGAGCCTGTTCTTAGAAAAAATGTTTTGTTCCGGATTATCATCAGGAGAGAAGTGGCTGTCAGCCAGCCAAGTGCAGAACCTTATATTAATTCCTACTGGCGTCCTATGGTAGTCCAGACCCCCCAAAACAAACTAGGTTTTGCCATTGGTTAGAGATTACGTTTTCAGTTGCAGGTTAAGTTACACCTCTCTTACAGCTAGGCTTTTAGTGTCTGATTGTGACTTCTGCATTTTTCTTCAAATTTCTAGTAGTTAAAAAAAAAAAAAAGGCCTAGAACACCACCATGTTCATTAAAACTACTGTTGAATCTTGGGTGTGGGTATTCTTTGGAGTGTGGGTATTCTTTGAAGGCAGTCCATGGGATTTTGCCCATCTGATCATGTTTCCAGTTTATTCTGTGACCAGAGGATATTCTAATGAATT